TTCAGAAAAGATCTAATAAGGGTTATCAAAGAAAAAAATACTACCTTGACATTTCTCTTCCTTTGCTTCTCCCTCTTCTTTTTTCTTTAATATATTCTTCTTCCTTAGTCTATTATTGCTTGATGACATTGACACATCCTCTTTGTGCATCTAGTATGTGTGAATAACTAGGCACACTTTCATGGCCAGAAAATTGCTCACAAAATTTGCTATTGATGTGCTGGTCTCTCACATATCCATCCAAAACACTAGAAGAATATGATGAACATTATTCAAAACATATCTGGAGATATGTTAGAGGTCAGAGTTGCAGCCACCTACCACTGCTTCCCCAGACTTCTGTGAAACTTAAGAGAATTAATTTTATTTGGCTTCCTTATGGTTTTTACATAGAAACTAGAATGCTTAAACCCTCCATCAACTTGGCCACTGAGTCAAAGAATGGAAGTTAAGGAAACAGAACTGCTAAACAGAGCCTATACATTTCTTACAGTAATTGTGTTCATCTATATATCCAGTATGCACACCTGCTCAAACAGACAAGAGCCATCCATTTCTATAGCATTTATTATTCTCTCTTATAGTTCCATAAAAACCCAAGGTTACAACCTCCCAGCATTCCTCACAATTCAACTCTTGAAACAGCAGAGCTCCACTATCTCAGGCCATTTTGCAAAGACACAGGTTTTGAGAGAAAGAAGCAATGCTGCATTGAATAAAGAAAGAAAGAGCCCTTCCTTTATCCCCACCCAGGGTCACATGGTCTCAGAGCGGAGAAAGCCACATCAGCTCCTTCCATTCAGCCTCAAGGTCTTTCTCACCATGGAACTTGGACGCAGGTCCAGAAATCACTCTTCCGGGAAGATACCCAGCTCTTCTCCCATCCCAACTCTTCTCTGCTCAACTCTCCTGAGCAGGTAGATACTAAGATGGCCCCCAATCATTCCTGCCTCCTGGTGACCATGCCCAAGTGTAACAACATTCACTGGCCCCTCCCCACCTGTGTGAGGGCTAGGCATAACCAAGGGTGGGAACCTTTTCTCTGCCAAGGGCCATTTGGATATTTATAACATCATTTGTGGGCCATACAAAATTATTAACTTAAAAACTAGCCTGCTTGCCCTAGCTGGTTTTGCTCAGTGGATAGAGCATCGGCTCAGTGGACTGAAGGGTCCCAGGTTCGATTCCGGTCAAGGGCACATGCCCAACTTGCAGGCTCGATCCCTAGTAGGGAGCATGCAAGAGGCAGTCAATCAATGATTCTCTCTCATCATTGATGTTTCTATCTTCCTCTCCCTCTCACTTCCTCTCTTAAATAAATAAAAATATAGTTGTTTTTTTTTAAAAAAAAAAAAACTAGCCCACTATATTTGGTCAAACATTTAATGAACTCACCCCTAATGCCTTGGTAGAGCCAGACCAAATGATTTCTAGGATCTTATATGGCCCATCCCCGTAAATGTTCCCTATCACCATATAATAAAATAAGGGTAATGAAATGTCCCATGATGAGGCTACTAATGTGACTTCTGTCTTGCTAGCAGATTCTATTGTTTTCTTATCTCACAGACTTTGATGAAGCAAGTTACCATGTGGAGAGGCCCACAGCATGAAATGAGGATGGCCTCTTTCCAACAGCCAGGGAGGAACTAAGGCCCTCAGTCTGACAGCCGGCAAAGAACTGAGCTCCGCAGTCCAACAGCCTTGAGGACTGAATACTGCCAACACTCACCGCACTGGGAAACAGGTCCTTCCTCTGTTGAGCCTTCAGATGAAAGCGCAGCCCTGGCTGACACGCTGCTTGCAGCTTTGTGGGAAGCCCTGAAACAGAAGACCCAGAGAAGCTGTGCCCAACATCTGACCGACAGAAACGGTGAGATAATAAATATTTATCTTTTTAAGCCACTCAATTTGTGATGGGTTGTTACAGCAATAGGTAACAAGCACACCTCCCAAAAGGGTGCTTCCAAAATCCCTGTTCTGCAGGCGAATCAAGTCCTGACAGCCTGACTCACCCATTTGCCAAGTTCAAGCTCAAGCTGAGACTTAATAAAAACCCACCCCGTTCTTCTCCAGAGGCAGGACGGCGGAAGGTGTTTCTGGATTACCTGTGGGTTTCCTTTACCCGTCCTTTCCCATCTCAGAGTTAACTCAAGCAACCGTCTGACATCTCTCATTTGTACCAGTGCGATAGTCATGGATTTAAAAGTGTCAGGCACAGAGTAAAGAAATTGCATAAAAGTTCAGCTACTGCACTTCTCAAGCAAGGCTACTTCATTTTGTCATTTTCTCTCTGCATAAAGGGTCTTTTCATTTAAGTGGATCTTCAATGTAGTGATTTAAGTTGTTCACAAAGATTAACTAACGAATGACCTTATTATCACTAGGGAAACCCAATGGCTATGTTTATACTGATAAAAGGCACCCCACTATGTAAACTGAACAAAGACAACGTATTTATAGGAGGTAGCTAACTTTTTTCTTCATACTTTAAAATGCACTTTTTCAAAGCCAACATTGATGTCCAGGGTCTTACCTAAACCAGGGCTATTCCTGTTGACAGCAAAAGGATATCCACCACTGATCTTACCGCTGGAAAAATGCCTATTAAAGACGCAGTAACTGAATAGAAGAGGGCGGGAAACACCTGAGGTGACGTGCTGGCTGCTAATGTGGATTTTCAGTGTGGACTCCTCCTTGGAGGCGCTGCATCCAGATAGTAGAATTTGGCAACGAGGACAACAGTTCGATGCAACTAGTGAAAACTCTGTCTATAGCATTGTTTTTTCTCTTTTCCCACAAATTAGAAAATATGCCAAATATGCCTGGCAGTTTTGCTGACAGTTCAACAATCCACTTCCGTTTGCTATTATTCTCAGCAACTTTCGCAGTTTCTGGTTGATCAATCTCTGCCAAAATAAAACTTGGAAGTAAACAGTTTTTAATTGAATCTTTGTGAGGTTAAATATCTGGGAATTTGGAGAATGATAAATAATTTGGGGGGCTTATTTTATTTGAATATTTGGCATTAAGTATCATCACAGCTTTCTGATGGAAAGACAAACATCGATGGAGTTCCCCTGCTGGGCTATTTACAGCATTTAGGAAATATTTAGAGACATTTGGGGAAATGTTTTTCCCAGAGCTTTTTATTTCTCCCAATTGGCCTATGTGAAATTCTCTTGATAAGAACCGAGGATGCTAGGACTCAAGGTTAATAATGCACTACTAATTTTCCAATCGATAAATTTTATTCTTGTGATACTTGCATAAGATTTGGATTTTATTTGTCACAAGAGCTGCTTATTCAACCAGTGGTTAGAAATCTCATATACATTTCCACATGTAATGTCTACAGCAATACTTATCCAAAACAGTAGATACCTTAGTGGCTCTCAACCTTCCTAATGCCGCGACCCTTTCATACAGTTCCTCATGTTGTGGTGACCCCCAAACCATAAAATTATTTTCATTGCTACTTCATCACTGTAATTTTGCAACTGTTATGAATCGTCATGTAAATATCTGATATGCAGGATGTATTTTCATTGTTCGCGACCCACAGGTTGAGAACCGCTGCTAGCCCTTGCTTTGACGCCCTTCATGAGAAATAAAAGAGCCTAACAAAGAGATATGTTTCAAAAGTGGTTATTAGATGTATAGGATTTTGTTATAAAGCAAACATAGCCTTGAAGGCATTGCAGTAGTTTGTCCCACTAGCAAAGTTTACCGAAAGCTTGATCTCACAATTCAAGGCAACAACAACTACAAAAGGGATGTTTTCCCTGTCCCTCTCCTTCCTGTCTTACAGCACATTAAAGCTACTGTGAATCTTTACCCAAGTAGCCATTACCAAAGGGGCAGAAAATTAAAAGAAGAAATGAAATTCAGTATTAAGTTTTAAATGTCTTTCTTATTTTGAGAAATTACTAAAATTGTTAAAATATGTGCAAAGGCTTTTCTGAAAGAAAAAAAAATAAGTGGAGTAGGAATGAATGTTAAATAGTAGATTTTACTATTGTTGAGGGTTGATCCTCCAAAAATGGCCACCGCAGTATCTCCCATGCGGCATACATCTTCTTGGCATAAAACTGTCCCATTCCTCCCAATTAGACTGAGGTCTGCATTCCCTCCCCTTGTATCTGAGTAGGCTACTTACTGGGGCAGAAGTTATGTCACTTTCAAGACTAGTCGTAAAAGACTATACGGCTCCCAAATTCAATATCGTTTTGCTAGAGAGCTGATCTTGGAACACAGCCTCCATGACACGAGGAAGCTCAAGCACCACGTGGAGGGCTCATGTGGAGATGAAGCACAGCACGCTTTACATTCCAAGCCGATATCTGAGCCTTTGGCGAGTGTCTGATGGTCTTCTCCACATGTCTGAGCGGGAGCCTCCAGGTGATTTCACCCTCCAGCTGGCAAGTTACCCCCAACCTTTCTCTCACCCCAGTTATGTTTCAAGGATAAGAAATAAGCTGTCTCTGTTGGGCCCTATCTAAATGGCCAATTTCTGGTCAACATTAATGGTTGGGGTGATTGGTTTCTCAGTAGTTGATGACTGACACAAGTAATTGAGTGACAGAATTTCAGAGTAGATAAAAGGATTTGACTAACGACACAGAACCAGCAAACTGTAAAGTGTGACCCCAACCTCTGTCCACTATTTTCTTTTAATCCTCACCTGAGGACATGCCGAGAGAGAGAGAGAGAGAGAGAGAGAGAGAGAGAGAGAGAGAGAGAAAGAGAGAAACAGTGTGAGAGAGAAACATTGATTGGTTGTCCTCTGAATGCTACCCAACTGGGAATCAAACCCAAAATCCAGGTATGTGTCCAGAGTGAGAATCGAATCAGCAACCTTTTGGTTCATGGAACAATGCTCAACCACTGAGCCACCCCAGCTGGACCTTTCCACTTTTTATATTAAAAAAAAAAGTTCCCAAACAACTGATGAAGTTTAGAGTTGCCCTTCAATAATAACTGTTTTCTCTCAGATTCACCTACAGATCTTGAACACATGTCTCTGTTGGAAAAGTGCATGTTCATGAGGATGATGCTTCCATGGCTTTTAGAATAAATAAAATATTTTCAGATCACCATGGTGTTGAAACAATCTCTCTTTTGGAATTTAAAGTCATTCACAAGTTCATCTGGCTTAGATTTTCTTTTGCTCTCATTCCTTAGGATTTTTGTGTATATTATGACATCAAATTCAAAAAATAAAGACTGAACACCTGATTAACTTACCAGGCTGCTATGAGAAAGAAGCAGTGGAAATACTGAGCACCCTTATACACACTGATCCCACTTATATTTGATTTCTTTTCTAATACTATTCAAATGGAAAAATGTGACCTTGCGGAACATTTACAGCTGTGCTTCATTTGTTTCTATTTATCTCAGGTGTTATTACAGGAGACTAGGGAGTGTTACTGACGTGTTTCCTACTGGAGTTAGAGAAAAACTAAAAGGTAAGTGGAACCTTAGAACTTACAAAAGCAAGAATTCTACTCCCTACTCTACCCTTATCCTCTGAAAGATTGCTCATGGGTACATAGATCTTTTCCAATAAGTGTTATTGTTTTCTTTAGATAAATACCCCAAAATGGAACTATCAGGTCATATATATATATAATTAGGTCGTAAGCAGCATTACACTCAAAAATGATTTTTTAAAGAGTGGTTTATTATAAATTTTCTTCATTTTTTTCCATGTCAACTAGTAATTTGCTATATGCACTTGTAGTAAAAAACAAGAGCATAATCAAAAGCTCTTACGGGATTATAAGACAGGGGAGAAAACATGTGATAGAGAATTTTCAATTCCCAAATTAAGGTTTAACGCTAGATGAATTCTCTTTCAGTTGCAAGTGTGTCTCTGCTGGGACATTGAGAAGTTCTCTTTCCATTGCTCCAGCACTTTGCTTTAAATACTCATTTAGAAAGAGGGCTGGGGAGGCAGGCCCGAGATGGAGATGGCGGTGTAAAAGGACACTGAAACTGCCCCCTACCAAGAACACACCCAGTGTTTCCCTATATTTAGAGAAATTCCTTCTTGAAAGACAACTGAGAGTCAATTGAACAGTTTCTGCACAACAAACAACAGAGAGACCACATAGAGAAAGTTGGGGTGTAGCTAAAACTCTCCAGGAGCTGAGAAACTGGTAAGGGCCATTGTCTGCATTTTCCCTGTTCTTGGCTAGAAGGCAGGAGTGCTATCAGGTGCTGTGAATGACCTACAGGGCCATGGTAATGCATCTTCAACCACACCTTCCACAGCTAGCTCCACAAGAACAAGAGGGCACCAGAGGACACACAGGGCCCCTCCATCCAGAAATGGATACAGCAGGTACCATAAGGCGCTACTGCATGCACCTACCAGGCTGTGTAAACACACAGGCTCTGCTGCCCAGAGAAAGTGTGGAACTAGCAGGCAGTTGTGTGGGATACCCCCACCCAGCTCTGCCCCACCCAGAGAAAGTGCAGAACCAGTGGAGTGACATGGCCTGCACACGCAGATCCAGCTTAGTCAACAGGCAAAGCAACAGGGAGAGATACAGATGGTCAATAGTCATGTTGAAAGATGCTCAACATCACTAATCACCAGGAAAATGCAGTTAAAACCACAGTGAGACACCACCTCACACCTGTCAGAATTTCTACCATCAAAAAGTCAACAAAAAGCAAGTTAGGATGTGGAGAAAAGGGGACCCTTGTGCACTGTTGTTGTGACTACAATTGGTGCACCCATCATGGAAAACTGTATGGAGGTTTCTCAAAAAATTAAGAATAGAACTACCACATGAGCAAGCAAATCCTCTCTGGGGAATTTACTCAAAAACAATGAAAACACTATTGATATCAAATCAATATGATATACAAATGAAATAAATACAATACTGTATGCCAACTGTACTTTACTAAAAAAGAGGCAGTTATGGCAGAGATCTCTCTTTCTGCAAGTGTACACATAAGGGCACAGGGGAGAGATGCCATCTAAGCCAGGAAGAGTGGTCTCATGAGAAAACCATCCCAAAGGTGACTTGATCTTAGACTTCTAGCGTCCAGACCTGTGAGAAAATAGATTTACGTTGAGTGAGCCCCAAAAGGTGACAACTGTAATACTTTCTCAATGTCAAGGGCATAGTTAAGTGGCTTAATTTGCATTTTTAAATTCATGGCTATGTCATTAAAATGGCAGTAAATTTTTATGGGGAAAAAAATCTCCTGCAAATAGAAGCAGGAGAAAACTAGATCTCTTTTCCAGTGAATGCTACTGTTCGTTTGTCGTTTTCTGAGGCAAAACAACACTAGATTTGGAAATCCTGGAGAATGCGCTTCATTTTAGTTCTACAGTTATTTGGCTGTGCTAATGACACCCGGACACACTTGGGCAATGCCTGCAGGTCTTTGAAAAGCAGACGCTGTGTAAACCCGTTTACACTACTCACCAATAAAAGGAGAAGACAAACAGAATGGTGCCATTCTTTGCCTGGCATGTGACAAAAAAAGAGAAAATAAATTCTTTTCTTTTTTTCTTTTTTTTACATCTATTCTTGCTCTCTTTTAAAGTTTAGCTATGCTAGTGAAGCTGGCTTGATCAGGCAAAATGGATAAATAACTAAAGAAAACTTGGCAAAGAAAACGAATGAGAAGAAAAAGGGGAAGTGAATTGATTCATGTTTGACAGTTGCTTTGAAGAAAAACTAAAGGGACAAGACAGTCTTTAGAGTCAATGCAATCCCTATTAAAATACCGATGGTATATTTCACAGATCTAGAACAAGCATTCCAAAAATTTATATGGAACCAAAAAAGACCCCGAATAGCCGCAGCACTGTTCAGAGAGAAGAACAAAGTTGGAGGAATCACAATACCAGATATCAAACTATACTACAAGGCCACATAATCAAAACAGATTGGTATTGGCACAAGAAGAGGCATATAGATCAATGGAACATGAATCTTCAGTGTGTGGGCTGATGCTCTAACCACTATAACACTGGCCAGGACTTGACTATTTTTAAATTTATACTTATAAAGCATTGATTATGTAAAACAACAAAATACAAAAATACAAAGAGGTACCACCATTATTTAGTTTTGTTTGTTTTATGATGTAGTGCATTGATAAATTTTCTTTTATATATAAGAATATTCTTATCCCCTTCATTCCAATTTCTTGTACTGAGACTACTTTTTAAAAATTAAAAAATACTGTAATAAATTTAAGAAGAAACACTGTAAATGAATGGTGTGTGTAATTTTGATTTTTCTATAACATTTAGACTTAAAAAAATTCCCTGCAGGCCAATAGTTAAGTTCCTTTTTTGGGAGAGTACAAATAGCTTTAGGACCAATCCCAAACCTTCTATAGCCTGGCATAGGAACATAACCTTTTAAATTAAAATGATTAATAGGCAAGAACAAGAATTCAAGAAAGAGCCATATCAGATATAAGAAGTCCGAGTTTTAAATTTGAATAAAGCAGGGAATGGTTATTGATTCTTTGCATTTTCATTTATATTTGACTAGATGCCCGGTGCACGAATTCGTGCATAGGGTGGGGGTCCCTTGGCCTGGCCTGCAATTGGGGCAATTGGGGGTTTCTCACCCAGTCCTGATTGGGGCTGGATCAGGGCCAGCTGGCCAGGGGGAGGTTGGCTTGCTGCGGGAGGTTGGCTGTGGGAGTGCACTGACCACCAGGGGGCAGCTCCTGTGTTGAACATCTGCCCCCCTGGTGGTCAGTGTGTGTCATAGCGATTGGTCAACCAGTTGTTTGGTCATTTGGTCACTTAGGCTTTTATATATATGGATTTCTTTCAAAAAAATGATATCATTGTGCTTTCAAAAAGTCTCCTTGTATTTCTGAGTCTTAGAGTGAACATCTCCAAGTAGAAAACAGAACACCTAGGTTTTTAATCTTACTTAGTCAGAAGCACATTTGGTCATCATGTGCTTTTGTTTCTTTAGCCGAAACCTGAGTGGAAATCACTTTTGCTTTTTTATGGGAAAGGAACAGAGAGAGGATGGAATGAGAGAACTTGCTAAGTGCTCAGAAAGACTCTCCAAACACAAGCTACTCTAGTTAGTTAATAATATGAGTCCCTTCTCTGAAGGCTGTCACCATAGTTGCTTTCCAGCTCAGGCGTAAAAACGCCCGGCATCACAGAAAGAGAAACCTATAAATGAGAATGTGGGCTGCAGCCAATCCCGGGGCCCTTGGCACCATGAGGACTCGAGTGTAATCAGTTGAGCCGGTGCAGGGGAAACCGGCTCCACTTCCGCCGCACCTGCCAGCATCGCACAGGTCTTGAGCATCAAGACAACACCTCTTGCTGAGCAGCAAAATGTGCCACCTGCCAGCCCAGGGAGCCGCCATGCTTCTGGAGAGATAATCAGTGGAGAGGGAGTTAGGTCACTTCTCTCGTTTTGCTCTCCTGCCACCTGGGAATCTAAGTGACTACTATTGAGCCATCAGAACGAAAATCTTTCATGGCTCTGGAGTGCTCCTGAGTGATATATAGAATAACTTACAGCCGTCCCGTTTTAGGCTGGTTGTGCTAGCTGCCTAATAAGAAAAGGTGAACCTAGTTTACAGTTGGTCTGAACTCTATCTCACTTTCGTTCTCTCGCACATATTCAACCAGCATTCGTTATCTGTGGTGTTTCAGCCATTGTTCTAGGTAATAGGATGAATCAGAACTGAATCAGAAATAGCCACTCTCAAGGAGTTTCTATCCAGTAAAAGGAGAGAGACAAGTGCAATATAAAGTGATTATAGTACCAGGTAGACATGACTATATGCATATTTATATATACATGTGAAAATGAATAAAGCCCTGCAGCTATTTTTATTGAATAACATGTGAGACGTAAAGAGAAAGGTCTGTAAATTGAGATTTTTTTTATTTAAGGCACAGCATTACAATCCTGCTATTTAGTTTTCAGCTGATACATCCCTCCCTCTGGAAGTTCTTTCTAACAAGTGCTCTCCCTTAGAATACAGCTCAGCCTTCTTTTTTTTTTCTCTAAAATATTTTTATTGATTTCAGAGAGGGAGAGAGAGATGGAAATATCAATGAGGAGAGAGAATCACCAATTGGCTGCCTCCTGCATGCCCCTTACAGAGGACCGAGCCCAAAACCCGGGCATGTGCCCTCCACTGGAAACTTGGGACCCTTCAGTCCACAGGCCGATGCTCCATCCACTCAACCAAACCGGTTTGGGCCAGTCTTCTTTTTCTAACTCCCGCAGCCTGGCGTCAGGGGGTCAATGGTTGCTTTTTCCAACAGGGAGACCAGCCTCCTGTTGAGCGTTATTCCTTCTTGGCGCACAGAGGTGCTACCTGGAAACTCTGTGACTGGCCAATGCACGTCCTGCTTCCGGGACTTGACTGCTTTTTAAGAAAGAAGGTCCTGGTCATCAGAGGGCTGCAGTTTGCTTCGGGTCGGATGTAAATGTGTCAGTCTGAGGAAGGCGTCCTCTGGGTGGCATTGTTTCCGAAAAGCAGGAGAACTCAAAGGACCTTTGCCGGGAGAAGCAGACCCACAAACGTGAGTGCGACCATGAGGTAAGAAATGGACGACCAAGGACCCCGTTTCCAGCGTAGGAGGGGAAAAATTGTGGAAGGACGATTTGAAGCAGTTTGCTGAGGTTTTTCCAGCATGAATGAATCTTCTCTTTCATCTCTCCTGTGAAATCATCGGTAAGTTCTAATTTGTCCACTAATCCTTTTGTGAAACCTTGTTATTTATGGTGACCTAGACAGGGAATAAATCCTGTAACCACACAGGCTCAGGCAAGAACAAAGGCTGATGTGGGGATGTGGGGACATGATGGTGATAGTTCTTTAGCGGGGGGGGGGGGGAGAGAGAGAGAGAGATCCAAGAAAAACCCTGAGGCGCTAGGGGGAAAGGGCCTCCATTCATTTTTCCTTCTCTAACACCTGGAACAGAAAAAGACCCGCCAGGCAGGGGAAAACGACTTGCTTTGGGTGTGTGAGAGAACTGCATGCCGTCACATAGCTTTTGAAGTGTTGGCTGACCGATCACTAATGTCTGATTACTTGTGGGGAACTAGGCGGGTGGCCAGATATGGCCCTGGGAGCCTTGACGATATCTACTTAGCCTAACCCACACCTGCTTTCTCACACCACAGGGCTCAAACTCCGTGGTGGCATGCATGTTTTAGAGTGAAGCAAGTCGAATCCAAATCTTTGATCTGCCATATTTGTACCCATGAGGCCACTGGCCGCTCACTTAATGTGTGTGCCTCGGTTTCCTAGCCTATAACATGGGGATGACAATACCATCCCACTGGGCTTTTAAGAAAACTAAAGGCAGTAATATTTGGTACCTGAGGCAAAATCAGCATTCAGCACATGGCATGTTCCTTCCCGATCCGAAACAAGTGGGTAAGACGCCTTTTGAACTCGCTAAACCTGACTCTGCTCTGCCTTTAATCTGCCTCCGGTTCAATAGTTACAGAATCAGTGGAACTCCATTCTTCTTTGATGATAAGTCCAACATTTTTTTTTTTTTTTTTTTTTTTTTTAGTGCTAGCTTCTGCCAGGCACTGTTATTTACTTATGGTTAAAAACCAAAATAAAAACAAAACACAACCTCCATGTGATAGATATTATCATCCCTA